TGATCAAATAAATCATTCTTTGATTTGAATTTGATCAAATCAAATATTCAAATATCAAATCGAATTGCGGAACCCTAGTGTTAATAATAAAAAAATTAATAAAATTAATTTTTTATATTAAAATGTCACCAAAAAGTCAAACATACTATTTATTAATAAAAAATCAATTTTTTATTAATTTTTAATAATAAAATTCCATCCCAAAAGTAAAATATAGTATTTATTAATAAAAAAATTTTTTTTTATTAATTTTTTTATAATAAAATGCCAATCTGAACATCAGAGGTAGTGAAGCGATCTGGATAATTTGTGGATGTAAATTAATCATTCGCTAGATAAAAAATAATCTGAATGGTTATTATATATCTGCAGAAATCTGAATAAATGATTCACAAATTATGTGCTAAATATTCGTAAATGATCAATAGATCACAGATAATTGATAATCCACAAATATTTGCATATCCGTGAATCATTTGTGAATTTCTCCTTTTTTTTATAAAAAATTCTTACTGTCAACAATATAATAAAATTATTTTTATAATTTATGGCTTGACATTTTATTTCAACTTAATATTTTATTTAAAATAATATTTTATATTAAGTTTTCATTTATAGTTTTATTTTATTATAATTATATTGATTATAAAAAAGTATAAACCAAATTTACAATTTTTTTGAAGAAGGATGAATACTTTTAACAAATGATGCATTTTTCTTTAAGAACATAAGCCTATTAAACAGTTCAGAATTTAAACATGTTATTTTTGCTGTTAATAAATTTCTGGTATCACTAAATAACCTTTCACTTGGAGTAGAAGTAGCTAGGATAGGAAGATAAATTCTAGCTAATTTTGAAACAATTGAAAATTGTTCTCTGTGATCATGCTACTAAGTAAAAGGATCTGAATCAAAATCCAATTCAGGTAAAGATAAGTAAGTAGTTATTTCATTATCTTGTATGATGTTTTGTTTAAAAATTGAAAATAGAGAGGATTGGTTGGATAATAATGTTGAAGAAGTGGCAAATGTTGTTAAAGGATTAGCTTTAAGTTGATTATATTTGTTTTTAATAAATCCTTTGTTTTATTATGAACTTCATCATCATCAATAAATTTAAGAGACTTAATTATAGGATCAAGTAATACTGAAATAAAAGTCTCTTCTTCTTCTTTGTTTTAATATAATTCCATTGTATTATACAAATTAAGTTTTACTTTTCTAACATTCCGGTAGTATTAAATGGTTCATTTAGGTTTAGCCTTTTTTCTAATGCATTTTTTATATTTTCACATTCAGCTTTCTCTTCTTCTTCTTCCTCTGCAAAGACATCAGCAATTTCTTCCATATCTATATATTGAGATCTTATATTTTTTGGTTTTATGCGTTTTTTAATTTCTTTTAATAATAGACTCATAATACTATGAGTCACATATTTACTTACACCTAAATAAGTTGTGGCTTCAGCAAATTCTTTCAAAATTACACACAAGTTTTCTAGTAACTTCCATTCATTTTTAGTTAGCATAATTTCAGAAAGTCGTTGGCCATCTTTTCTTGAATCTATATCATTAGAAATTGGTAAAGTTGTTATAAGGATATCAATATACAGTCAACCTTTGATATAACGAATTTTATGTCCTGAACTTCAACTTCGCTATAGAGCTATAGTGAATTTTTTAAAGAATTTGATTGGCTAGTTCGTTATAACGAGGGTAAATTTAATATAGTTGTCCAAAAAATTCGTTATATAAAAATTCGCTATAGAGAGGTATGACTGTATGTCTTAATTTCTAAAAGTCTCTTTCAGGCCAAAAAACTTGAATTTCATGAGGAATATCTACAATACAGTGACGCAGGTATGTGCTTATTTTTCCAGGATTCTAAAATAATTTAGTAATAGTTATTTTTATTTTTTAAAAAATTTAATGTTTTTGAAATACATGTCATACCAGCTGACTTTCAATATTTATTTAAATATTTTCTAGCCTTTCTGATTGTTTAGGTCTTATGAAGAAGTCAATTAATCGTTTAGTTCTTAATACAAGCAATTTTACACATGCTAGTCCTTTTCCTACAACCAGTTGTAATGTATGTGCAATGCAAGGTTGCTAGGTAATATTTGAAGAAATTTCATTCATATCTTTAATTGCTCTTTTCATATTCGCGTCATTATCTGTAGTAATTACATTAACCTTTTCTCTTAACATCCATTGATCTAATAATTCAAATAGGATATCACTAATATGATCTGCTGTATGTGGATATCGAACATATGTAACTGTGAGAACAAGTTCATGTAATTGAAAATTTTTATCTAAAAAGCAGCATGTAACTCCAATGTAGCCTTGCCGGTTCTGAGCAGTCCAAAGATCAGTAGTTAAGTTAATTAAAATTACGTGATCTTCAATATATTGAATAATTAAGGGAAATGTATGATTATATGTGCAATGAATAATTTGTTTCATTAATTTTACATCAGGTACAATAAAGCCAGGATCCAAATCATGTAGAAACCCCCTAAACATTTCACTCTGAACAAGTTTAAGTGGTATTGAATCAGCAAGAATCCAATTAACAAGAGATTGTCAAAGTTGTATTTGCTTGGCTTCTTTATGTGGTCTTATTTTATTAGTAAGAGTAATTTGGATTTATTTTTTGAAAAATTTTAATATATTTTATATTACTTGTTACTGTTATAAAAGCAAAAATATTAACTTACTGATTTTTCTTTTATATCTATATTTTCAGTAATTTGATGTGATTCAGCAAGATGCACGATTAGATTGCTTGTTGAGTTTCTATTTAAATAGAGCTTTTTGCAAAGTTTTTCATTTGTTATTTTAACTAAACATTCTGCACTAGTATTTTCATTATCAAGTAATACAGGTTCCCACCATTTCTACACCCAGCTTTTATATTTATGTGTTTTTTCAAGTGTTCTTACTTTTTGGGGAACGTGTTCTGATGATTTTTGTTTTTTTGAGCATTTATTAGAAGGTTTAAGAGTGGGTTGATTAGATGATTCTACTTCATTATTATAATTACTAAGCAGAATAGTTTCTTCCGTCTGTTAACTAACTTTAAGAAAAAGAATATTTTTATATGAAAAAAAAAGTCGCATGAGAAAAATACTTTTGAATTTACACAATTATATGATGTAATCATTGTAAGTTATCTGATTAAAGATGGTACAGCAATTGATTTCAAATTTACAAAATGGTGCAACATAAGCTAAAATTAGTTGCAACATATGTTGCAACATTATAAGTTACAACATATATAGGTTAAAACTAATTGCAACGTAAGTTGCAACATTAAAAGTTGCAACATATTAATTACAGTTCTCATCTTTATATCTGATATTCTAATTTCAGATATTAGATTGGTAAAGTATTTCTGAAAAGGGTTGGAATAGTGAGACAATAATTTTAAAATGTAAACCAAAAGTCAGAAAAGATTAAGCGTAAAAGTAAATGTTAATAAATAATTGAATTTAGATATTAGGTCATTTAGATCAATTTTCAAAGTTTTTAATTTTTTTTACACTTAATTTTTACTTTTTTTGCAATAATTTATTAGAATATAAAATAAATTTAAACTATAAACTTAAAATACATAAAAACTAGCTAAAAATTAAAAAATAAAGTATTATAAAAATAATTATTTGAAATATAAAATCACATGATTTGAATGTGAACTTAATTCACAATTTCATCATATGATCAACATTATTTTTTTTTAAAATCTCCAACTATATATTGAATTTCTTTACTATTTAATTTTAATATATCTGATGCGGAAATTGATTTGATTATTATTAATTTTTCTTTACCAACTTGGCTAAAAAGATTATATATCTTTTTTGCTTTTTCTTTTCTTTTTCTAAGATTATCATTAGTAATATTATTTGGAAGTTGTTGTCTTATTTCTACATTAACTGCTTTTTGAGCTTCATGTTCCAAATGAAATTTTTTATGAAATTCCAACTTTTCTGAAGAAACTTTGCCAAATAAATAATAATACTTAATAACTTCTTAGTTTGAAATTTTATTTTGAATTTCAGCATTTATAATTTTACAATATAAATTGTAAAATTAATTCACATATTGATTTTCATTTTCATTTTCATTTTCTTTCATAATTTCACAAGATAAAATCCAAAGTATTTGATGTTAATTCTTAATTAATGTAATATGTTTAGGTTTTTTTAATGCTTTTACTTTTTTAAAACAATTTATAATTTCAGTTTGTTTAACTAAATTTTGTTCAAGAAAATTATTACAAATATAACATTTATTTAAGCATATAGCAAAACAATCCTAATGAAATATATGACCGCAGGAAACTGTAATAAATGATTTGTGTAATGTAGAGAAAATTGCTAAAATCTCTTGATTGCATAAAGAACAAGGATCTGGAGTTTAATTTTCATTTTTTTTAATTATTTCTTTAGGGATTTGTTTAAGATAATGTAACATAAACTTTATAACAGAATCAGAAGAAATATCTATTTTTATGAGAATTATGAATTGTACCGGTAATTCCAAAATATCTTTTTATTTATAACATTAAAATTTTCCCATATTAATTTGATCCATTCATTTGTTTATAGATTAAAAATCATAATTCATTATTATAGGTTTTTTATTTCTCACATTAGCAGACTCCGAAATAATTACATAAAAATTTTGCAATTATGCAATCACTTTTCAATTTATGGTAATGTCAGTTTTTATTTTTTCACATTAGCAGATCACAATCACATACACAGTTTATGGTAACGATCAGGGAAAAATAAAAAATGTAGTGTAACAGATTTGCAAAATTTGTTTTAAAAAAAAACCCACTATTTTTATTTACCTCTCTTTTGGTAATACTATTATTGTTGATCGCTCCTCTAAGGGATTGGCTAAAAAAATAAAAAATAATTTATTCCTGCTTATAAAGAAAATATTCGTTGAACTTTATTTGGTTTCCCTAGAGTTCTGGATTGAATGATGGAACAAAGATAAGTTATTGTGTTTTTTTTAAAAAAGTTAAAATAAAAAAAAATATAAATAATTTTTACTTACCTCTTATTATAAATGCTGAAGTCATAGAATCATTATTGATAGATCAGAGGTAAGTTAATATTTTTTAAAAAAAAAAAAAATATTAAAAAAATAAATTCATTAATTATTTCTTACCTTTTGTAGATGCCAAAGTCTTTCCCAGAATCCTGAAATTCTAGATTGAAAGATAGATAAGTTGTTAATATTTCTTTTAAAAAAATAAGTAAGATATTTATTGATTTCTTACCTTTTTTGTAGATGTCGAAGTTGGAATTCTGGATTAAATACAGTAAGTTTATCTTTTTTCTTTAAAAAAAAAAATAAAATTATTTAAAATAAAAATTTTCTTACCTCTTTGTAGATGCCGAGGTCTCCGAGGTCTCTTCTGAATCCTGAATTATGTAAGGTAAGTTTTTCATTTTTTTTTTAAAAAAAAATAAAATTATTTAAAAAAAAAAAAAATTACTTACCTCCCTTTGTAAATACTGAAATCCTTCTGGAAATCTAAGAATTCTAGATTGAAAGATGAAGGTAAGTTGTTATTTGTTTTTCTTTTAAAAAAATGGTAAAATAAATTTATTGAATTTTCTTACCTTTCTTTGTAGGTGTCAAAGTTTAGAATCCTAGTTAATTATATAAGGTAAGTTTATCTTTTTTCTTTAAAAAAAAAAATAAAATTATTTAAAATAAAAAAATTTTCTTACTCGTTTGTAGATGCTGCACAAAATTATTGTAAATTGCTTCGGTAGATTTAGTAAACTCTTTATCATTTAAATTTGATTCTTTATTCATAAATAAGTTTTTTAAAAAAAATGAGAAAAGAATAAAGGCATCATGTCTAACAATAATTTTTAAACACTATCCTCATTTTTTCTCAACGTAATATGAACAGACATGTAATTCTTTATTACTTATTTTTTTTTTATAGTTTTTTATTATCAAGATGGTTATTAATCCGATTACTGCTAATATTCCACCTCTAATCACTAAACCAGTTAGAAATTTATTATCAGATGTTTTTGGATTTTGACTAGTATTAGAAATGCCTTTGGCTTTTTTCAACAATTTTTGAACTACCTCTTTTTTTTGCTGATAAGCATTTTGAGCATATTCATCAGCGGTGTTTTTGACAAAGATTTTTAATTTTTTAACCTTAGATTTTATTGATTTTTGGTTATTTAATTTTATGGCTTGCTGAACTTCGACAATTAATTTCTCTAAGGTTATCACTCCTGCCTCATTTAAGACTTCAGTGCAAATGTTTTTGACCTCCTCAGGTTTTAACTAGCTATTATTAAGTTCAGTCAACTTTTGTTTATTTTCTGAATTTAAATCATCGTTTTTTATTCTGAATTTTTGTAATTCTTTGGCTACTTCTTCTTTAATAATTCTTCTTAATTCTTCTTGGTCAACTTGACCTAATTTATTCTCAGAACTGTTTTGAGTAGTATTTTGAGTTTTTTTAAGAGCATTTACCAGTTCCTTCTTGTTATTACTAATTTTGGCTTGATTTAATTTTTTCTTTGGCATTATTAACTTTTTCAAAGGTTGGCGATAGATTTGAGAAAGGTGCTTTTTGTTCCTTTTGTTCTCCTTGGTCTTGATTATTTGATTGGTTTTTTAACAACTTCAACTCTTTTTCAAATCTACTCAATTTTTCTTGGACTTCTACTTTTTCCTTTTCTGTGAGTTTTGGATCAGAAAGTCATTTTTCATTAATTCAATATCTTTTTTTAATTGGATAATTTGATCTCAACTAGGAAAAATTTTGTCGCTTGGGCGAGGAGAATCTTTAAAATCCTCTCTTCCATCTTGAAATTGCTTTTCTGGTTTTTGATTATTTTTTTCTTCATTACTTTAATGAAATCATTAATGAAATTTAACAATTTGATTTTTATAATTTTTTATTTCTTAAAATTCAATTTCTCACAACCTCTCAACTCAACCTGCGTGTTAGCTATTGTTAAGTATAGAATACGCACTCGGATGAGAATTATATATACTATAAAAAATTTCATTAATGCGAAGTCCTTTGTCGTAAAATTCATTGTATGCTCTATTATAATTGCTGGAGTTAAGACTACTACTACTATTATTGGAACTGTGTCATTCTATCCCTTGTTCTAGGCAATTGTTATAATTTTCTTTTTCTTAGGGATTGGATAATACTTTATAAGCTTCAACGACTTCTTGAAACTTTTCTTTGCTTCCTCCAGATCTATTCCCCAACAAATCCTGGACACCCTAGCTGAGGCCTTTCCTGAATCTTAGATTATGTAAGGTAAGTTTTTCATTGTTTTTTAAAAAAAATTTACTAATTTTTTACTTACCTTCTCAATAGATGCTAAAGTTCTCCTAGAAATTGAATTCTTCTTGAATTGAATGATGGATTGGAGGTAAGTTATAAAGTAAGTTTATCTGCTTTAAAAAAAAAAAAAAATTATTTAAAAAAATATGTTTACCTCTCTTTGTAGATACCGAAATCCTTCTGGAAATCTAAGAATTCTAGATTAAAGGATGAAGGTAAGTTGTTATTTTTTTTCTTTTAAAAAAATGGTAAATTTATTAATGTTTCTTACCTCTTTGAAGGTGCCAAAGTTTGGAATTTTAGATTAATTATATAAGATAAGTTTATCTTTTTTCTTTAAAAAAAAAAATAAAATTATTTAAATAAAATTCTTACCTCTTTGTAGATGCCAAGGTTTTCTCTAGTCTATGACATTAATTAATCATTCCACACAATATATAGTTTTTGAATTCTAAATTTTATAACCAAAAAAAAGAAAAAATTTTTATTTAAATTTTAAAGCTTATCGTTATATGAAAAAAAATATTTATATAATATATAATTAAAAAAATAAAATAGTTTTTTTCGACATTACCAAATTTATAACATGATGCATTGTTTTGATTGATACGATATTTTATTTTTATTGTGTAATGTATTATGTTTTATATAATACCTCTATAAATTACATCACAAATTGATCTACAAATTATGAGATGAATTTGCAAAATATTTGCGAATCATTCATGGATAAATTTCACAAATCTGTAATACTTAAAAATGATCCAGATATCTGAATTATCCACAGATTGCTTCTCTAATCAAAGGTAAATTTTTGTTAAAAAAACAACAAAATTGTTATTTTTTAACATTAAAATGCCATTCCAAAGTTCAAAGGCAGATTTTTGTTAAAAAAATTTTTTGATCTATCAGATATGAATATGAATTCAGATTTGAATTTGTCAGATTTAGATACAGATTTGAATTTGAATTGTTGAATTTGGATCAAATCAAATTCAGATTTATTAGATTTAGATTTTTCAAATTCAGAGCAAATCAGATTTTACTCAAATCTGATCCGATCTGATTTGTGCAAAATACTATTTACCTAATTTTTGATTATAATTACACAAATAAATATATAAATAAAAGTCTGACAATTACTCTATCACCTTCTAGCGAAACCTTTCTTACATTTTAACAAAAATTATATTTTATCAATATCAGAATGATGCCATCAAAGTAAAAAACACAATGATAGACCATATTACATTTCTGGAAGCAAGGAATATAAAATGCTATTGAAATAAAAAGATTGATGAAAATTATAGGGATGCACTGGTCGAAATCAAAAAAATCAGACATGTGATAAATTATTCATCAATCATCTGTCAATAATATATAGCTAAAAATGAATCTAAATCAACTTATCTGATTTATAGTCAATTTGAATTAAGCTAAAATTTCAATTTTGATTAGTCCAATCAGATAATGCAAAAATTGTCTGATTGAAAACTTCATCCCAAAGGAATGATAAAAATTGTTCTTAAGGAAAGATACAAATCATTTATAAGAAATGATAAAAATAATCATTCCTTTTGGAATGATACATTATCATTCAAAAAGAACAATTTAAAAAAATCATTCCTTTGAGACAATATATCATTGTTCTTATTGAACAATCAAAAAAATCATCCCTTTAGGATGATAGATCTATCATTTCAATAAGAATAATTAAAAATTGTCCTTTTGAAATGATAGATCATTTATTGTTCCTATTGAATGATCAAAAAATTGTTCCTTTGAGATGATATATTATCGTTCAAGAAGATAATTTAAAAAAAATCATCTCTTTAGAACAATACATCATTGTTTAATAAGAATGATTAAAATAAAAATCATTTCAAAAGGATGATAGATTATCATTCTTATTGAACGATCAAAAAAATCGTCCCTTTAGGATAATACATCATTATTCAATAAGAATTATTAAAAAATATTATCCCTTTAGGATGATACATCATCATTCTTATTAAATTATTGAAAGAAAAATTATCCTAAAAGGATGATACATTATTGTTCTTATTGCAGTCAGGGGTTTTACCAAAATTGGGAGTGTCGATCATTCCTTTTATGATATAAAAATTGCTGATCAGAAAATTCTAGAATTTATTATACAATTTTATTTGATATACTGCAGTACTGTTGTGCTACATATACGTTTAATTTATTTTTTTTTTTTTATCAAAATGCTATTACAAAAAAACTTCTATACTCCTGAATGTTAAGTACAATCAAAGTTATCAGGTTCATTATCTGAAGTTAATAAAGACCTTACCTCTTCTAATATAATTAATAATTCACTACGCTTTTTAGACTTTATTCTACTATATTTTTTTCAAATACTGTCACTTACCTATTCAAGAAAAGCTTCGATTTTGCAAACAATTTCTGCTTTAGTCATATTTGCTTCATCATTTTGTGCAATTTCCTCTTGTTTAGTGATTGGAATTGATCTAAATAAAGAAGCTTGATTATTTTTATAAAAAACATTAATAATATATTTCTGTCAAGCTTGTTTTGCTATATTAGTAAAATTTGTCAACTATGCACTTAATTCATATTCCTCTCCTAAGTTCTTACAAACGGTTCTTGAATCCATCGGATTAACAAAATTTTCTTTTCTTAGATAGGCTCAAAATCTCTGACATTCCGTAATTAGTTTCAGCTGGTTCCTTAGACCAACTATTTGAGAATCATTATATCCAATCAAGTTAAAAAAATTTTTTCATAACTAAATTTCCATAAATGATAAATTAACTAATTTGTAATAATAATAATCATAGATACAATAATTGCAGTACCTGAAAAAATTTTTTACAGTTTCGTGCAGCGATTTTCCAATGACGCACTTGTGGAATGGGAGGTATCAATGTTTTTAGAGTTCTATTTATTTTTTCTAGAATTGCATTCATCCCTTGATGCTGGTTAAAAAGTCCTGATTGAGAAATTACGCAGTTTTTTTCTATAATACTTTGTATAGTTGGATCAAGTTGCATAAGTTGTACTTCATCTGCAACTTCTATTAAATGATATATCAGATGGTGTCGTGCCAACCATACTGACGAAAAAGCTCTTTTTGCAGCTCTTTTTAGTAATGGATTATTTTTCCTAATGCTGTTCTATAATTAATAATGGTTATTGTATGAAGTCCTATAAAAACTTTGTTTTATTGGGGTTGCATCTTTTGTATCGATGCTATGTGTGACTACATTTGTCTTTCCATATTGGTCAGATTCCCAGATAAAAAGATCAACATATTGTTCCATGAAGTCCTTGAATTTTGTCATTTGTTCTTCTGTAAGATTTCCTGTATGAAAAGTTCCCTTTTCAATTTCCTTATATTGATAAAATGCTTGCCTTAC